GCAGGTGCTGGTGGGGGCGGTGGGGCTGGAGCCAGAGCCGGAGCATCTGCAAGGGAAAGAAGAGGTGGGTGAGGGGGTGACCGTGTCCCAACACGGTGCCACCGCCACGCTCCCTCTGCCACCGCATCGTCCCGGCTCCCCGGGCACGTCCCCGCACTCCCGCCTCAGTTTCTGTGCCCTGACACTCGCTGCCACCCCTGCTCCGTGCCAGGTGTCCCCGCCGGGACGGGGTCATCCCCTCGCACCCATACCTGTGCAGGTGGGTGTGGTGGCGGTGGTGGCGGTGGCCTCTCCAGCAACCACGGGGGCTGCGGGGGTTTCTATGACAACGGGGACAATTTCGATGGCGACGTCTCCGTCGGGCCCACGCAGGATCTGCACCAGCCCCTTCTCCTCGAGCTCCGCCAGCCGCCGCTCCAGCGCCAGCCGGTAGCACTCCTGCGGCTGCGGGGACGGCGGGCTGGGCGGCCGCGGCGGGCTCAGCTGCTCCTGCAGAGGTGACAACCCCGCCGGGTCACCGCTGTCCCCGAGCGCCCGCTCCCCGAGCCCCAGCCCTCCCCCGGCTCACCCGCAGCGCCTCCAGCTCCCGCCGCGCCTGGCTCAGCTGCTTCTCCAGCTCCGCTATCTTGGCCATGGAGTCGTTCTCCGCATCCTGCAGCTTCTCCGTCAACTGTGGGCGACGAGGCGCCGCCGCTCAGCCCCGTCCCCGTCCCTCCCTCGGGCTTTGCGTCAGCGGCTGTGCCCACGCACCCACGGCCCACCTGGCTGACGTGCTCCTGCAGCTCCTCCATGTGCTCCAGCACCGCCGTCTTGGTCTCCGAGTCCTCCAGCATGGCCCCCACGTCGAAGACGTTGTCCAGGTAGGCTTGGATCTGCACCTGCAGCTTGTCGCTCTCGGTGAGGCGCAGACTCTGCCGAGGCACGGCCGGCGGTGTCACCGTCAGCACCGGTGGCACCCCCGGCACCCCCCGCCCGCGGTGTCACCCACCTCCAGGTACTGGTCCAGCCCCAGGTGGGTGAACTCGTACTGCAGGAACACGCGGAAGTTCATGTTCTCCACCGAGTGCACCACGATGTTGATGAACTGCATGCAGGCCACCTGYGGGGACAGAGGGCTCAGCGYGGCCACCAGCGCRGCACAGGGGACACGGCCCCRGGRGCTGCACCGGGGGGTGGTGGCCTTGGGGACATGGTGCCCCTGGGGAGTGCATGATGGCTTAGACAGTCCTGGGGACATGGTGGCTTGGGGACAGCACAGTGGCCTTGGGGATGTGATGGCCTGGGGACAGTTCAGTGGTTTAGAGGCTGGGGACACTTTARTGGACTTGGGGACATGATGGCCATRGGTACAGAGTGGTGGCTTAGAARCCCTTGGGGACAGTACAATAGCCTGGCAGCCCTTGGGACACGTCACCCCCAGGAGAGCATGGTGGTTCAGCAGCCCTTGARGACACGGTGGCCTGGRGACAGCATGGTGGCCTTGGGACCTGGTGGCCTGGGGAYAGTTYRGTGGCYTAGAAGCCCTTGGGACATGATGCCATGGGCACAGTGAAGCCCTTGGGGACAGCACAACAGCCTGGCAGCCCTTGGGGACATGCCACCCACAGGAGAGCATGGTGGCTAATCAGCCCTTGAGGACATGGTGGCCTGGGGACAGTTCRGTGGCTCAGCATCCCTCAGGACATRATGCCAYGGGACAGTGTGGTGGCTTAGAAGCCCTTGGGGACATAACAGCCTGGGGACAGTGCAGAAGCCTTGGTGACACGATGCCCGGGGGACAGCAGGGCACCAGCCCCAGCAGCCGCACGCTCACCATGAAGTCGATGTTGCTGTCCTCGTTTCGGAAATACTCCATCAGCTTCTCGAAGCGGTTCTTCTCCCCGCAGACCTGGGCAGGGAGCGGGGGGCTGAAGKGGGGACATGGCCAGGGGACACCCAGGCAGGTGGCAGGACATGGTGACACCATCCCAACCCYRAGCYGTGCTGCCAGGCACCCAGCCCAGCTGGGACGTGGCTCTGGGGACACACGCTGGCATGGGGACACCAAGCCCTGCGACTGGAGCATCTCCAGGCGAGCCAGGGATGGGCATTTTCAGGATGGTGCAGGGCTCTGCCACACACAGGGAAACTGAGGCACAAATCTCAGGATGGTGCAGGGCTCTGCCACACACAGGGAAACTGAGGCACAAATCCAGTCAGTGCACAGGTGTCTGTGTGGGAACCAGGTGTCCCTGCTGGGGACCGGGTGTCCCTCCTGGGGACCGGGTGTCCCTGCTGGGGACTGGGTGTCCCTCCTGGGGACCGGGTGTCCCTGATGCAGACTCACCTCCTTGAAGTTGTCAAAGGCAGCCAGGATGATGTCGTGGCCACCTCGGACCAGGCAGACGGCGGCCAGCAGCTCCAGCACCAGAGCCTTGGTCCTGCAGAGATATGGGGTGTCAGGGTTTGGGGCAGGGGACAGCAGGACAAGGGACAACAGCAGCGGGGCCAGGTCCTACCTGGCGTTCTTGTTGTTGAGGCTCAGGGTGATCTCGTTGACGCAGGCTGGGTGGTTCATCACCAGGCTGAAGCCAGACTTGAGGGGGGAAAGGAGCATTAATGGGGTCCTGTGTGTCCCTGGAGACACCCCAGGACCTTGGGACACCCCCACGCCAGGTGTGGGGGTGTCAGGAGGCTGAGTGAGGACATCTCAGAGCCGGGGGCTGCAGAGCCGGTCCCACCCCACGGGCGCGGGGGATYCCGGGGAGCYCCGGGCGGTCCCCGCGGGTGTCACCCACTCGCACCTGGTAGTTCATGATGGCGCGGAGGCACATGATGCACACATGGACATCGTCCTTCTGGCTGACGAGCCGCGAGTTGCGCAGCGTCTTCCTGCTGTGCGAGGGGTTCAGCCTGGGCGGGGAGAGCGCGGCTGAGCGGGGCCCGGGGCGGCCGCGGGGACAGCGCAAAGCGGGGAGGGGACAGCGCATGGGAGTGGCAGCAGGAGAGGGGGGACACCGGGGCACCCACGGGAGAAACCCCCGCGTCCGTGTCCATCTAGAAGCCCCTGGGCTGGGGGGGAGATGTGGGGCGGGATGGGTCGGGGGGCCCCTCGTGCACACGGGTGGTCTCGGAGGCTCACCGGGGCGGGCAGGAGCTGCCGGGTGACCTGGGGGCACTGTCCCCATCGCTGCCCGGGGCACCGCAGGGGACGCTGGGGTGGACGTGGCGGAGGAGGGTGTGGAGGTGCTGGTTCGAGAGGCAGCAGCTGGAGGCGCGTTAGAGCCTGCAGGACAGGAGGGAGAAACGGGGCTCCCGCGCCGCCCCGGGGACACCCGCGCTCGGGGACAAGCGATGGGACCCCCTGCGGGTGCCACGTCCCTCCTGACCTGTCCCTGGGGCTGGGAGGGACACCCCGGCTCTTCCCGAGCTGCTGGCAGGCGGCGAGGGACCCCCGCGGTCCCCGGGGTGCCGCGTTACAGCTGCCGGGTGACCGCGGTGCGGTGTCCCTGGGACCCCCCCGCCCTCCGGGGATGCCCCGCAGGCCCTGTCCCCAATACCGGTGACCAGCAGCGGGGTCCCGGGGGTGTCCCCGTCCCGCCAGTGCCCCGTCACCTACCGTCAGCGCGTCCCCGGCAGCGTGCAAGAGAAGAGCGGGGTTAGACGGGGCTGCGGGCGAGCGGCACCAAGCGACAGAGAGCCACCAGCCACCGGGACCGGCTTTGGGGGACACAGGCCCGTTCCTCCGCCCCGGTTTTAAACCAGGGGGCTGCGATTTGCTCCCCGGACATCTCCAATACCCCCGATTTGTGTTTATTCCTGGGTTTTWCCCCAGCACGGTGGCAGTGCCGAGGTGGGGACACGGATCCAGCCCAGCTCCAGGCAGGGCTGAGCCCCTGGGGRCACACAGCGGGACGTGGCTTTGTCCCCAACCCCAAAGCAGCCGTGGGCACCCATTTTTAGGACCGGGCCTGCGTCTCCCTGCCAAGCCCCTCTCCAAGCGCGGCGCGGCCGGGGGTGCAGCGAGGCGAGAGCAGGGGACACGGCGCGGGGACAGGGGACAGTTGGGGACGGCACCACACGTTACCTTACAGTGAGGGGCCGCGTTTTGGAGGCGCCCTGGGTGGGGGACGAGGAGGTGTTTTTGTTCAGGTCCTCCAGCGAGCGCTCCTTGCCCTTGTCGGAGCCGGGGCTGCTGCTCTCTGCGCTCTCCATGTCGTACCTGGTGGCCCGCGGGGACACGGGGACAGGTGAGGCGTGGCACCCCATCGTGAGCAGATGCCCCTCAAGGATGTTCTGCTCAGCCCCAGCCACGGAGCATCGCCCTGGTGAGGAGGGAGGGCACCCCCAGGGACCCCCCAGCCCCGCTGAACCCCAGGGGAGGGTGATCCCYGCTTTGGGGACAGGGCACCCGGTGGGGACGTACGCGACGGAGCACTGGGCGAAGGCGAGGTACTCCAGCAGCACGTCCAGCCCCTTGTTCTCCTCGTTGAGGAACTCCTGGACCCAGCTGGAGGGTGCAGAGGGTTAGCGGRCTCTGCCACCCCCCACATCCTCTGTCCCCCTGTCCCCAGACCCTCAGCACAACCACTCCCCAATCAGAAGTGCCCAGTGAGGGTGGGACACGCTGAGGACAGGAGGTGGCACCGTGAACTGGCATTTCTCTGAGGCCAGGTGGGTGCCATGGTGAACCTGATATACAGGGGACACAGCCCAAGGKCTCTGCTGTCACCACTGCCACATCCCGCTGCCACCACTGCCACAACAGGACAGCCTCGCCCTGGGGGCCATGGGCACCCCCAGCCCACAAGGGGGGTACAGAGAGCCAAAATGGGGTTCAGACCCCACAGCACCCCCAGCCACCCCAGCACTTTCAGCCCCCCAGGCGTCAGGATGAGGCCACAGCCTCCCACCCTGCTGTCACCCTCCAGCCAGAGCCAGCAGGACGTGCATCCCCACCAGTGACAGTGGCAGCGGCTGGGTGACAATGCCACCCGCAGCCTTACCCGATGTAGTTGGTCCTCAGGGAAATCTCCAGCTCCCGGAGCACCTGTGTCGATTCCTGCACCCGCCTCTTGAACTGTGGGATGGGGACAGCCATTGGCATTGTCCCTGTGCCCAGCCTGGGATGGGGACCAGGGGACAGGAGTGCCACAAGGACCCCTCACCTTCCTGCTGACACCACCCGTGTCCAAGTAGCTCTTCAGCTTCTGGATGTAGGCGGACGGAGGGTTCTTCACCTGGAAACGCTCCTGCAAGCCCCAGAGAGAGGCTGAAACCRGGCCACCCACTGTCCCCCAGCAGCCACCAGTGTCCCTGTCCCCACCCCGCCTGCATCAGTGCTTAATGAGGTTAATGAGGTGCTGTGTCAGTAACGAGATGGATATCAGCATTTGGTGCAGCCAGGTGGATGTCCACACCGTGAGTGGCATTTGGGGACAGGGACAGCACCGGGGACACCGTGAGATTGGACCTCACCTGGTCACAGATCAGCTCCCACTTCTTCTCGTTGTCGTACTGGTTGAGCAGCTTCATCTTGTCTGGGGGCAGGTTCATGGAATTCTGTGGGTGACAGGGTGGGGGTCACCCCAAAATCACCCCCGGGGCTGGAGCACCCCCTGCTCACCCAACAACGGGTGGCTTCGCTCAGCAGGGGGACAGGGGGACACCAGTGGGACATGGGATACCCGTGGGAGGATGGGGACATTGGTGGAATGATGGGGACATTGGTTGAACACGAAGATTACAGTGAGAAAATAGGGACACTTGTGAGACCATAGGGACACTGGTGGGACAACTGAGACATTGGTGGGATGATGAGTACACTGGTGGGACATGAACATTTCAGTGAGAAAATGGGAACATTAGTGAGACGATGGGGACAGGGATGGGACAATCAGAACAGCACCCCCAGCATGGGGACACTGGTGGGACAATTGAGACATTGGTGGAATGATGGGGACACTGGTGGAATGATGGGGACACTGATGGGACAATGAGAGCAGCATCCCAGCACGGGGAGATGGGTGCGATGATGGGGACAACAGCAGGAGGTTGGGAACACCACCATTCCCGGAACGTGAGTATCCCATGGACCCACCAGCAATGTGACCTGAGGGTCCCCGAGGGGAGGGCAGGGGACAAGAGGAAGAGCTGGACATGTCCATCCATGTCACGAGTGCGCCATGTGCCCGGCCTCAGCCAGGCAGGGCCACACGGGGTGAGGGACAGGGACCTGGTGACATGGCTGAGGGACCCAGGGCCGTGCTCGAGGGGTCACCCCCGAGTCCCCCCCGTCCTGGGCGCGTGACAAGCCTGTCTGGGGAAATCAGTGCTGCTTGAGAGACAACCATGTCAGGGGCTGGCGTGTCCCCACGTCCCCGGGTGCCACCATTGCACAACCCCAGCCCCCACAGGACGTGACGCGGTTTCCGCTCTCGTAATGGCGCCGGGCGCTGCCGAAACTGCTCCACTGTGGTTCGAGAGGCCCTGGGTGCAGCTCCAGCTCTGCTCAGGGACACCATGGGGTGACCTTCATGGGCCTGGGCCAGGCTGCAGCTCAGCTCAGCTCGGATTTATTTTGCCAAAAGCCCCAGTTTTTGGTGGTCCCATTCACCTGGGGAGCACAGGCAGGCTGGCACGATGACAATGGGGCAGCGCACGGCCCCAAATCACCCCTAAACCCTGGGTTTGGGGTTCYCTGATGAGGAGGATGAGGACGTGGGGTGCCTGCCATGCTGGAACCACCACATCCTTGGGGAAAGGCATCTCCCAGGSGTTTGGTTGCCCACAGAGGAGCTGGTCTGAGGGGAGAGGTGCTGCTGTGGTGGGCAGGGACAGAAACCTCTCCACCGCCTCCAGGGAGGACCTGTCAAGCTGCTTTCGCAAGGAGCCAGAACCAGGAGCCATGGGCGGGGAGGGGCTGGGTTTGGCCAGGGGGCAGGGGGCACGGAGAGCTGGGCAGGGGGTGCAGGGTCAGAAATGGCCTCACTGGGAAGCCACTGGAGCTGCTGGGTGGCTTCTGGGATGGGAAAGGTGACAGCAGCACTGGGTGTCCCCACTGCTGCTCCCCGAGCCTTGGGATGGATGGGATCCTCCAAGAGGGTCAGTGGTGACAAGGGACAAGGCTGTGCCAAGAGGGAGCACGCACCCAAACATCCCACCCAGGGCTCCCTGAGCACCCGTGGCACCCTCCGTGGGACATGTTGGGTGCCCTCGGCCAGAGGGAACGGTGGCACCTGCCACACGGACCAGCTTTGGGCCACCACCCGTGGGACTGCACACGCCAGGACCCTGCGCTGGCGGCGGGACAGGAGCCAGCCCGAGGGTGGAGCAGGGGACGCTGGGCTGTCCCCGCGGAGGTGGCGCTGTCCCGAGCCCCGCGGTGCCTCCCTTGCGGGCAGGATGTGGCACGGCTCGGGTACAAACTGGGTGGGGGCTGCAGCCCCGGGTGGGCTCGTGGTGCCGGGGGCAGGAAGCGGCTCCGCTCAGGCACCGAGAAACCGGCTCTCGCTTCCTGCCGGGGAGGGGGGCCGGCAGCGTGGGAGGTGTGGGGCTGGGCGGGAGCTGTGGGGCTGGGTGGGTGATGTGGGGCTGGGTGGATGATGTGGGGCTGGGCGGGAGATGTGTGGAGGGTGGGTGATGTGGGGCTGGGTGGTTGCTATAGGGTTGGGTGGATGATGTGGGGCTGGGTAGATGATATAGGGCTGGGTGGATGATGGGCAGGGTGGGTGATGTGGTGCTGGGTGGTTGCTATAGGGCTGGGTGGGTGATGTGGTGCTGGGTGGTTGCTATAGTGTTGGGTGGATGATATAGGGCTGGGTGGATGATGTGGGGCTGGGTGGTTGGTATAGGGCTGGGTGGATGATGTGGGGCTGGGTGGTTGCTATAGGGCTGGGTGGATGATGTGAGGCTGGGTGGTTGCTATAGGGCTGGGTGGTTGCTATAGGGCTGGGTGTGTGATGTGGGGCTGGGTGGTTGCTGTAGGGCTGGGGGAGTGATGTGGGGCAGGGCAGCAGCCATGCACCCCAGAGGCACCAGAGGAAGCTCATTGTCCTCTTCCTCCTCTTCCTCCTTTGGGGACACGGACAGAGGAGCCACAGGGACCTGCCCCAGCAGCCACATCCCTCCCCTGCTTGGGGCTTTCCAGCAGCCTCACGGTCCTCCACGTCACGTTGGGGTGCCACCAAATGCCACAGTCCTGCTGTGACACAGTGTGCCACCGAGCCTGCAGTGCCATCCCAATGTACCCAGCACCACCAGGCTTTGCCCTGCACCCAAACCAGGGCCAGGCGAGGTGAAGCAGAACCAACATCATTTTCTGGTGCAAAACAACCTTTTCCTCTCRTGGCTGGCGGGGCCGGAGCTATTTTGGGTGTCAGGCACCTCTTTTTGTTCCACACGTGAGCGGGCAGCGCCGAGCRGAGCCGGGCTGAGCCGAGCTCTGCACCAAAGCTGGCACAGAATGTTCCGGCATCCTCCGGGGAGGTGTTTGTGCTGCCAGCCCCGACGGGCTGAGCGTGAACCGGGCTGAACCCCGGCAGCGTTTCTGGGGCACGGGGGGTGCGCAGCGCCGAGAGGGGATGGAGAGCCTTGGCAGCACGTGGGGTGCGACAACACCCCAATGCAGACACCAAATCCTGCCACAGGGGAGGGGACAGGGCAGGAAGTGCCCCAGGTGGCAGCTTAGGGGCTCTGTCCGGCTGCAGGGACATGTCCAGTGCCTGGCTGGCCAAAGGACCACGGCACTCCTGGGGTGCTCCATCCCTCATGGCTACAAAGCACCCCTGGGACATGCCCAGCCCTGCAGTGCCGGCTGTGCCTTGGTGTCCCCTCCAGTGCCCCCAACTGCCACTGGACCTGTCCTGCCCGTTCCCAGGGCTCAGTGCAAGGCACAGAGCAGGACCAGGCCAACCCAAGGCTTCCCAACCCCCACATGCAGCAAACGGGGCTGGGGGACACTCCCAGGGCCAGCTCATCCCATCAGGGGCTCCCTGGATCCAGCCAGGCCCCAAACCCACCAAATGCCAGGCAGGGATGGCCAGTGGAGCAGATGTGTCCCTGGGGTGGCTGGGGGGTGGCAGGGGTGGGCAGCCACTGCCTCCTGTGGCTCCAGCTCTATTTTAAGAAGAAGCAGAAGCTGCTGCAGCTCAGGCTGGGCAAAGGAGCCTGATCCCAGCCCCGTGCCCCCAACCCCGCTGGATGCCTGCCCGCCTGCCCATCCTGCACTGGGATCCCTCCTGGTTCACCCACCCGGGGCTGGATTTGGCAGCACTGGGGGCTCCTGCACCACCACCCTGTCCAGGCCCTGAGCCAGCAGCTCTTGGCCCACTTGGTCACTCCCCTCCCCACTCAGGGCACACAGCCCCTGTGGGGACACCCCACCGTAGCCCCATGTCCCCCAGCCAGCCTCGGCCACCGGGACCGGGCTGGGGATGGATCCAGCAGGAAGCTGAGGAGCTGTTGTGTTTCCTGGTTGAGCCGAGGCCGATGCTGTGGCCGGGGCTTGCTGGTCACCCGTCCCACTGCTGGGGCCAACAGCACATCTGCAACATCTGCAAACATCTGCAAACATCTGCAAACGTCTGCAATGGTGACGATGGCCTCACGCTCCCAGGTCCTGGGGCAAGAGGCAGCAGAACCCCCACCAGGAAAAGCTCCAAGCTGGAGCAGCCCCCACCCTGTCAGGCCCTGTTTGATTTTGACATGCCTCAACTCATAATTCCACTCACATATTCCCAGGTAATGCCTCGGGAAAAATCCTGATTGCTCTGAGCAGGAACATCTGAGCATCCCCATCCCAGCAGCAAAGATGCTCTTCCTCTGCTTCATCCCAAAAAGCCACCTGGGCACATCCCAAACCACTTGGCACGGGATAACCCTCACATCACTCTGCCAAAGAGACATCTGCCACAGTGCCCCAGCTGGGAAGGAGCCAATTTTTGGAGAATAAAGTTTTGGGAAACTCGATTCCCCATTTCTTGGCACGGAGTGGGTGTATCCATCCCCTTCCTGGCAGCAGTTTGGATCCCCTGGGCTCCTCCMTGGGCTTTTCTGCCAAGACTCAGCACCATCAGCTCTCCCAGTTTGGGATGTCCAGCCCAGAACTGGTTTGCACTGAGCTCTCACGGCATCACCGTAACCGTGGCAACATATCAGGTCTGGAYCGTGTCCCACCGGGAGATTCCCAGCTCATCACCACCTGCTCCATCACTGAGAGAAAAGTTGGAACCAGAGTCAGGGAAGGCGTTTGTGGCAGGTGAGGGCAGAGGGACCCCCTGTCCCCAACCCCCCTCCGGGGTTCTGCTGCCCCCACAGCCACGAGAATGGGGAAGGGACCTGTGAAAGGAGGAAGCGGGGTTGGGACAGCGGCTTTCACAAGACTCCCGCTTCCCGTCTGGGCATGTCCAGCCCCCTGGGCGCTCCCTTCCCCTGGAAAAGGGCTTTCCCTGGGGATGAAGGCACAGAAAGTGGTGCTGAGGGCTTGGAGCGGGGTTTTCCCCTCTTCTGACCGTTTCTWGGTTTAGGATTTCCCAGCCCAGCAGAAAGTGTCGCTTCCTGGGGCCTCCCAGCAGCAGCAGCAGCGGAAGCGTCTCTGTTGCAGCCACCGCTGCTGTGACACCCAGAGCCATCACAGGCACCACCACCTCACCCAGCCACCTGCCACCACGGGCGGGGCACTCCAGGCATCCCATGGCAACTCCTCTCTTTGGGATTTCGGGGATCCCGCCTGGCAGAGCCCCTCACTATCACCCCCCTGCAGCTGCAGCGGCTCCGGATGTGCTGCTCGCCCCGAAATAATCCCAAAACTCCACGAGATAAAAAAGCTTCCGAGTTATTTGTGCTCAGGGTTGGGACGGGAGACCCCATGGAGCAGATCCCGGTGTGCCGGCAGATCCCGGTGGGAGCCGTGCCCGCGGCTGCTCCCGGCACGGGTCGGCAAAACGGCTCCATCTCCTGCCAGGGGCTCGGGGGATGAAAGCAGCAATTTTTTTTTGTCAAGAAGCATTTTTGGGGAGGGCATGGRCAGCGGCTGGAGCGGGTGGCGTGGTGGCGGGACCCGGCCCTCCTGGCGCGAAGGTCACGGCCGGTCCACCCCGCTCAAGGACGGAGGGAGCGGAGCGGGAGTCGCTCTCCCGCAGTTCTGAGGGTTTTGGCGGAGATTCCATCCATCCCACGGGAACGCGGCTCCGGCAGAGCCCGCTGCCCACCCCGCGGGAGGCCRGCAGAGCTGCCGGGGGGCTGCCCCGGCTCCGGGGAGGAGGAGGAGGAGGAGGAAGAGGAGGTGAGCGAAGCATCGCCATCCGCAGCACCGCTGCCTGCAGCGCGCTCCGGCCCTGCCGCCGATCCCGCCATGGCGGAGCCGGCCCGGGCTCCGAGACTCGGGGTCACCCCGAGAGTTTTGGGGGCTGGATCCCCCCCAGGTGAGAGCGCTGGGGGGAGGGGAGCGGCTGGGGGTCATCCCGGGCCAGGGCTGAGTGTCCCCGGGAAAACGGGGCGGGAACGGGGAAATCAGTAGTGTTAATAAGAATACCAATTAAATAATAAATCGAATCATTAATAGAAGAATGAAATAGCAACAATACGATCATTATAATGATGATAATGCCGGTAACGCTGCTAATGATGCCGATACCGGCAGGGGATGCTGAGAGACCCCCCCRGCGGGTCCGAGCCCCCCGCAGCGGCTCCCCCCTGTCCCCCCCGCTATGTCCAGCCCCCTCCCCGCCGGACCCCTCTGTCCGGCCGTCCCCCCCGGCCGGTCCGGCCGCCCGTCCCCGCTCACCAGGACGCGGCCGAAGCGCTCCTCCAGCTCGGCGGCCCCGGGCATGGGC